AGTCTTGATTTGGTGTTATAATCTTGTAAGTATTTTTCTAGAGATTCAATTGCGAAACTAAAGTTAGTAGAGTAGTTGAATGTGAACTGAAGTTAGTAGAAGATTCAACTAAGCTTTGAAGAAGTAGTGAAACTGAAGCAGTAGATTCAAGTGATTTCGACAAGGACGCCCGTTTATGAAGGAAAGTCACTATTCCAAATCCAAAGCAAGTCATTTCATATAGAACGACTCGTCTTAAGGTCGTTCTTAATTGTCAGGTTGGAATTTAAGTGAAGTCAGCAAGGAATGCCCATTCTTATTTCCTCAAGCCGTTCCCAAGGAGGACGACTATGTTCCTATGCCCAATCTATTTTTTTGGAAAATCAGTGCACATTTTGGTGACCACAAGAATGCCCGTTCCTAAGAAAAGGGACGTTGTTCCCTATGCTATAATGTCAACAAGTTGTAGCTATAGAACAACCTTAGCTTGAGGGCTATCAAGATATAAGCTTAGGAGCAGTATGGGTTAAAATGCAATATTGGAAAGTAGATAGACTACCTTGTAATTTCTCTGGGTTAAAGTGTTGGAATTCAAATTTTGTAAAAAACACAATGTTTTGTATCAACGTCTTTATCAAAGAGTCGCACATGTTCTTCCAGTTAGTTAATGAAAATCCCAGTTTTCTCTTCACTTCAATTTCGCTCTTGTGTCCTCGTGTCATGTGGTCAAAAAGTTATTCGGCCAGTTTTCTTTCTTGTTAGGTGGGCGGTCGTGGGCCTGATAAATTAAGAAAGCAGAGTTTCCTGGATACAATTAAAATAAAATAAAATAAATTAAAATATGGAATGCTTCCAAATTCTAATGGTATATTACTGTTCACATTTTAAGTGTATGGAAGAGTAGTTGAGAACTATTAAATTGATATTTAACTCAAGACAGCCATGTTTAATATATTGTATTGAACTGATTAAAATTTTGGTTTAGTACTAAATTTAATATGATTTATATTCAAGAATAATTTGAAACTTCACCATTAAATTAATTGGGTTGAATACAATTAAAAGTTAAAATTAAATATTTATCTATATTATAATAAATATTAATAAAACATATTACAGTAAAACCTCTCTATAGTCATAATAGTGGGACTAACTAATTTTATTACTATAAGAAAGTTATAATTTAATGGAGGTGTAATTACAAAAATTATAGTTTTGATTTCTTATTTTATAATTCATGTTTTACTAGTACAGTATTAAGATTTCAATTCATATTTTAGTAATATTAGGATTTCAATTCAGCGCTTCAATTGCTTACTTTTGAAACGGATAAAATATCGTTTCTTAGAACCAGGAAGTGTCATTGATGGAACTGTAAATGCATTTGATGCATGATCAATTGATGTAAAGCCACAGACAATTGTCAATGGTTTTAAGCGCTGCAAAATTAGGATCACTAATGTCAATGAATTGTAAGTTACAAATGAAGTGGATGAGGAGAATAAAAGAGTTACTATAGAATTGAGTGATCAGATTTGACAACTTCACTACACTAGTCGAATTGATATTAATGTCTTCTTCGATTATCCAAATGAGTAACAAATCGTGTATGCTTTAACCAAAGGAGAAATCATTATTGCAATTGGACAAGAAGAGAAAAGAAATAATCCTAAGCATAATAGAACGGAAATACAAAAAGTCTTGTGCCATGAAGCTCTAAACATGTTTGAGAAACTAAAAATATTTTAGCTTTAACAAGAAGGTGTCCATACTAACGAGCTATTACGTACTTTTATGATAAAAAATGTGATAACAACTCTAAAACATAAATCATTGTCCTAAACAATTTTAAATAAATATTTTATTTCATTTTAAACCTTTAATTTTACATAACATATATTTTTTTTTGTNAAATATGTACTTGACTTATTAACTGAGACAGGAAAATTGAGTGCTAAGCCATGTAGTACGCCAATGTTTCCTAATTCGCAACTTACCAAAGATGGTGAACTATTTGAAGATCCTGAGAGGTATAGAAGACTGGTTGGAAAGTTGAACTATCTAACAGTCACTCGTCTTGATATTGCGTATTCTGTTAGTGTAGTAAGTCAATTCATGTCTTCTCCTACTATTGATCATTGGGCAGTGTTAGAACAGATTCTGTGTTATCTGAAAGGAGCTCCAGGACGTGGTATTTTGTACGAAAATCATGGACATAATAATACTGAGTGCTTCTCTGATGTAGATTGGGCGGGTTCCAAGATAGATAGGAGATCCACTACGGGCTACTGTGTTTTTATTGGTGGAAATTTGGTCTCATGGAAAAGTAAGAAGCAAACTGTTGTGTCCCGATCTAGTGCAGAATCAGAATATAGGGCTATGGCCCAGTCTGCGTGTGAAGTAATATGGATATATCAGTTTTTGACTGAAGTTGGTCTTATGGCCTCTTTGCCAGCAAAATTGTGGTGTGATAACCAAGCCGCTCTGCATATTGCTTCTAATCCCGTATTTCATGAACGAACTAAGCACATTGAAATTGACTGTCATTTCATTCGTGAGAAAATACAACAAGGTTTAATTTCTACAGGATATGTGAAGACTGGAGAGCAACTAGGAGATGTTTTCACTAAAGTTTTGAATAGGGTTCGGATTGATTATATTTGTAACAAGCTAGGCATGATTAACATTTATGCTCCATCTTGAGGGGGAGTGTTGTAGATTGTTGTAGATAATCATGCAAAATCTTACAGATATTGCATGATTAAGTGAATAAATCTATAATAGGATATTAGGATTATAATCAATACATAATAGGAACAAATCTGTAAAATAGGAAGTTAGATTTTTTATTTCCTAGATTAGATTATTTATTTCCTAGATTAGTTCTTTATTTTCCTATATATTGATGTATAATTTGTCAATGCAATACAAGAGAAAATTACAATCAGTTCTCTATTTGTAACAAACAATAACTAGAAACATGGAAATAACTATAATTCTGGAAATAGGAAATAGCTTAACTAAGTCTAAACAAATGGAATTAAACAAACAAATAGGAAATGAAGGCTACTGGACTGGACTGGACTGGGCTGATGATATCAGTCCAAGTAGCGTGGGTTGGGCTGTAAGGTCCGTGAGGACCTTCTAGGCCTAACAATGCCCACCTCATCAAGAGGATGCTTGTCCTCAAGCTCCAAAGAAGGAAAGTTTTGAAGTAGCATATTCTTTGGCTCCCACGTAGCATCTTCCTTCGATAGGTGTTTCCATAAAATAAGATATTCTTCAGAGAAGATTGCTCCACGTTTAACCCAACGAACATCCAATATTTGTTTAGGTTCCAACATGACCAGTCCTTCGTCAGAAATTGGTGGCAGGTCATGAGTTATGTTTGGTGGTTCTCCCACATATGGCTTGAGTAAGGATACATGGAATACTGGATGAATTTTTGCTGAGTCAGGTAGCTCTAATTTATAAGCAATAGCACCAACCTTCTCCAATATGGGAAATGGGTCGTAGTATTTGCTGGACAACTTTTGGTGAGCACGTTTGAAGACAGACTGCTGCCTATAGGGATGGAGCTTGAGAAGAACTTAGTCACCTATTGCAAATTCCAGATCACGTCTGTGATTATCTGCATATTGATTCATCCGATTGATCGAGATGTGGAGGTTGTGTTTAAGTTGCTTTAGTAACTCATCTCTTGTCTGTAGTGCTTGATCGACCTCGTGTACCGCTGAAGTACCAATGGAATACGTAGGAATCAATGGAGGTAGACGGCCATAAAGAGCTTGAAAAGGGGTCATTTTTGTGGAGGCGTGGTAAGTTGTATTGTACCAGAATTCAGCCCATGGAAAGAAAAAGACTCCATTGTCGTGGCCATTGGTGGACGAAACATCGAAGGTATTGTTCTACACATCTGTTGACGACTTCGGTTTGACCATCTGTCTGTGGATGGTAAGCTGAGCTGAGGGTGAGCTTTGAGCCTGAAAGTTTAAAGAACTCTTGCCAGAATTTGCTGATGAAGATTGGGTCGCGATTACTGACGAACGTCCTTGGCATCCCATGAAGCTTTATAACACCTTCAATAAACTTTTCTGCCACTATTTTTGCTGAAAATGGATGAGTAAGAGGGATAAAATGTGCATACTTACTGAGTCGATCAACTACAACTAGTATGGTATCCTTGCTGTGTGATCGAGGAAGTCCCTCGATAAAATCAAGCGTAATATCATCCCACACTTGAGATGGAATTGGTAGAGGTTGTAAAAGGCTTGTTGGGGCAGTAGTTTCTGACTTGATACGTTGGCAAATGTCACATTTTTGAACATATTCCTGGACCACCTGATACATATATGGCCAATAAAATTGCTAATGTAGTCGCTTATAGGTTCGGAGGACTCCCGAGTGCCCACCTGCTTTTGCATCATGCACTTCATGAAGAAGTTTGTCTCGGATGGACTGGTTAGCTGGGATCACGATCCTTCCTTTGTGCATTAGAAGTCCATCTCGCAACTGGAATGGACCTTGCAGTTTGGCAATGAATCTTTGGATTATTGATTGTATACTGGAATCTTGGGTGTTGGCTTGCTTGATATCGTCCCATTTATCCAGTTCAGAGGAGAAAAGAGCTTGCAAAATTGGGTTGTCCGCTCGCTTGGAGAGTGCGTCTGCAGTAGAGTTCTCTCGGCCAGGGCGATAGAGGATCTCATAGTCATATCCTAATAACTTGGCAACCCACTTTTGTTGATTTGAGGTGGCAATGTGTTGCTCTAAGAAGAATTTTCGGCTTCGGTGGTCAGTTATAATGTAGAATTTCTGCCCCAATAAATATGGTCGCCACACTCGAATTGCCTCAATGATTGCGAGCATTTCTTTAGCATAAGTGGACCACAATCTTTTAGTGACACCCAATGCCCTGCTCATATAAGCAATTGGTCGATGTTGTTGGGTTAGAACAGTTTCAATTCCTTCACCTGATGCATCTGTCTCGATTGTGAATGGTTCTTTAAAGTTTGGCATTGCTAGAGTTGGTATTTACTCATGGCGTGCTTCAGGCTCAAAAGAGCTGATTCTGCTTCCTCACTCCAGTGAAAATTACCCTTTTTGAGAAGATTTGTGAGGGGTTGAGCAGTGATTCCATAGTTTTGTACAAACTTTCTATAATAACCCGTTAATACGAGAAATCGCCTCAATTCTGTAATATTGGCGGGCTTTGGCCAATCCACCATGGCTGCAATTTTCATGTCATCAACCTTGACTCCTCGGTGAGTGATAATATGATCGAAGTATTCAAGTTCTTGTTTGCCAAAATCACATTTGCTCATCTTCACATAGAACTGATGTTGCCGCAAGGTCTCCAAGGTGATTTGTACATGTTGCAGATGTAGCTCCCACGATGAACTATAGATTAGGATGTCATCGAAGAAGACTAGAATGAATTTTCGCAAGTGTGGCCTGAAGATCGAGTTCATGATAGCTTGGAAGGTTGATGGCGCGTTACAAAGGCCGAATGGCATGACTAAGTACTCATAATGTCCATTGTGAGTACGAAAGGTAGTCTTGGGTATGTTAAGGTTGCTCACTCTAATTTAGTGGTATCCCGCTCGAAGATCAAGCTTGCTGAAAAATGAGGCTCCATACAATTCATCTAGTATGTCGTCCACTGTTGGAATTGGAAAACGATCCTTGATTATAGCCACGTTGAGTGCTCTATAGTCAGTGCAAAACCTCCATGTACCATCTTTTTTCTTTACTAACAAAACTGGAGAAGAAAAGCGACTGGTGCTTGGTCGAATTAATCCCAAGTTAAGCATCTGTTGGACTTGTTGTTCAATTTCGGACTTTTGAAAGTAAGCATAGCGGTATGGTCTGACATTTACGGCCTCGGTACCCTCCTTTAATTGAATGGTGTGCTCAACGTCTCTTGTTGGTGGAAGTGTGGTAGGTTCGGCAAAAATGTCTGAGTATTGGTCCAAAAGTGATTGCATATCTGCACTTGGTTTCGCCTGCATATTCTTGCAATCCGGTTGAGGGTACAGGGCAAAAATAGCGTGTCGTTGGCGATATTCCTTAGCCAATCTGTGCAGTGAAGTGGTCTGTATGGGTGGAGCTGCAACCCCTTGGAGTTTCCTTGGTTGGTTTTGCCAAATGAAGTCCATTGTAGACTTCTTCCAATCACAGACTACTGAGCCAAGAGTCTCCAACCATTGCACTCCTAACACCATGTCCAACCCAATTAATGGTAATGAAAAAGATTCCAGTTTGAACTTAATACCTTACAAATCGACTAGAACATCCTTGTATTTCCCTTTACATGTCAAGCGTTCTCCGTTGGCAACCTGTACGGTGAAGGGCTCTGTTGGTTTCACGGGTATCCGCAACGTGCTTGCTATTCAATTACTGATGAAATTGTGAGTCGAGCCGCTGTCCACCAGAGCAATTATCTCTTGGACACCAATGGTGACCTTGACTCGCATGGTTCTGGGTGCATCCCATCCAGCAAAAGCGTGCAAAGTTATTTCGGGTTCTCTAACTTCTACCATATTCTCGATTTCTCTTGGGACAATCTCTTCATCATTTGAGGTTTCCACAGTTAAACCAATTTCATCTTGTATAAAAATTTCTAGTGGAAGCAATTGTGGTACTTGACACTTGTGCCCTGGAGTAAATTTTTCATTGCAGTTGAAACACAACCCCTGGGCTCTCCTCTTCTGCATCTCTTCCCATGAAATTCTTTTGACTACTGGTACTGGGTTTGTCATGGGCTGATTTTGATTGTTTGTCATGGTTGAAGCTCGAGTAGTGTTTGGTCGAATGAATCTTCGTTGTCGAGTTAACTGGTCATCGCGCATCTTTGCAAGGTTGATGGTTTCCTTGACAGATTGAGGCTTAAACATTCGAATTCCATCAGCCACTTCTGGTTTTAATCCACCAATAAAAGTCCCCACCAACGCCTTCTGGGTCCATCCACGAACTCGATTTTCGAGTTTCTTGAATTCCCTTTGGTAATCTCGTAACAACCCCATTTGCTTGACTCGAGACAAGGCTTCATCGAAATCCTCAGAGTCAAGTGGTCCGAATCAAGCTCGTATTTCATCTTCAAATATTTCCCATGTAATCGGTCCCTGTTCTTCGTCAAACGATTTTCGAAGCCACTGCCACCATTGGTTTGCTTCGCCCTCCAAATGGAATGAAGCCAATCGGATTTTTTGGTCTGCAGCAATTTCTTGGAATTCAAAGTACTGATTCACCCTGTTGATCCACTCCGATGGGTCGTCTCCAGAGAACCTCGGAAATTCCAGCTTGGCAATCTTCAACAAAAAGGGTCTGTTGTTGTCGCCATTGTCTCTACTCGTTCTGCTCGAACCTTCTCGGTTGTAGTTGTTATGACCTGCAGAATCACGACTCGAAAGAAGTGTTTCAGATAGTTTGGTTATAATGTCTTCAAGCCGTTGGATTTTGTCCGCTATACCCACTTCCATTCTCTGCATTCAATCTTGCACTCCTCCTAGCCCTATTTCCAATTGCTCGATCCTTTCCTTGTTCGTTGTCATCTTCCTTGCTCTGATACCATTGATAGGTCCCAATCAGAGTAATTTGAACACTCAAAGATAATTCTCTTAGGGTGAGAATCAAACCACAATAATTGATAACTTTTTCTCCCCATTTTCATTTCCTTTGTTCAGTTTATTATACATCCTACTGCTGGAGTATTGGGACCGAGTCTTTAGGAGACTCAACTTCCCCTTCCCCACGATCTTCTTCAACAATAACTAGAAACATGGAAATAACTATAATTCTGGAAATAGGAAATAGCTTGACTAAGTCTAAACAAATGGAATTAAACAAACAAATAGGAAATGAAGGCTACTGGACTAGACTGGGCTGATGATATCAGTCCAAGTAGTGTGGGTTGGGCTGTAAGGTCCGTGAGAACCTTCTAGGCCTAACACTTATTTACCATTTTTTTGGAAGAGAAAAGTTTTTTCTCAGTACGACATAATTAATCTCACATTAAATTCAAGAAGTTGTCACAGTACTATACAATATGTATAATACATTCTTTTTCTTTTTAATTTTAAATTACTGACCTACAAAACTGTCTAAAGGCCCTGGAATCCTAGGCAAAACCAACCAAAACAAAGGCACCGAAAAGCAGAAATATTCAAACTTGTGAATCTGGACACAAAGAAAACAACATAAAAAAAGAGGAAACTCATTTTTACACTCAGTACAGAAATAATAGTAATAATAATAAGCGAATGCGAAAACAATGGATTGAAAAAGTTGTTTTACACTACAGATCCAATCAATTCATATTTAACATATGGAAATCATAGTAAAAAGCAATGTGTGTTTATGAATGAGAAGGCTATATAACGATGGAATAACTGTAATGTTTATAAACATAAAAACAAATACAAAAGACATGTTCATCCAAGGAAGAAAACAACATTCTTACAAGTGATGGTTTGCAGCGGCGGAGGTGGTGAAGTGACTTCACTGTTTATTGCTACTATTGGGAACTGAAGAAACAGGTAATGGAAGAGATTTGGGCGTTTTAGTGGAGGAGATTTAGGGTTTACGGGATCTGATTAATTTAGTGGAGGAGAATTGGGTGGAAGAGATTTGGGTTTTTGGCTGAAGTTTTTTTCTTGCCCTAGGTTTGACTTGGTCGAAATGTGGGTTTTGACAATGAACTTTGGTGTTTTGGGCAGGAAGAATTTGCCTTAGCAAAATTTTAGGGGGGGAAGCCTTAGCCAAATTTAAGTTTTTGGTTTTTTTTTTTTTTTTTTTTTTTTTTTTTTTTTTTTTTTTTTTTTTTTTTTTTTAACTTAATCCTCGACTATTAATCACTCTCAAGTGTTAAAGAAATATAACAGTCAAGAAGTGAATTTCATTTTTCTAAAATTCTTGACAATTAAAAACTGTCAAGGATCAAGACTATAAAATTAATAAATAAAATTAAATAACTTATTTTTTTACAAAATCTTTAACTGTTAATAACAGTTAAGGATTTGCTAAAACGGTAAAACAGTTGAAAAAGGGTAATGATTTATTTCTACTAGTATACTTTAGAATATATATAATAAAAACATACATACTTAGCATATGAAAAATAATTGGGCCCAAATTTTTCTTTACTTATAAAATATAATTCTTTACATATACCAAAATAACAAGTACAAAAACTTTAGCAACGGTCGACAGTAATGTCAATTCTCTCCGCTTGTCGACTTCCTTTCGACCGCTGCTCACCTATTTCCTGCAAAACATGAAAAAACAACCGGGTGAACACAAAAATGCTCAATAAGTAAATCCCTTATCTTTTCTCTTTCTTTGGTTCTTTCCTTAATTCTCTTCTTCTTTCTTTCGTTCCTAGTTCTTTTTCTGTTTCTAATTCTTACTGTTCTTTCTTTCTTCCTAATTCTCGCTATTCTTTCCTTCTCTCTGTTCTTTCTTTTTATTCTTTCTAACCATAATGGAATTCATGGTAATATGCATGAATGAAATGCATATGCAATAATGCATAAAAATGCATTTTTTCTTCTTCTTTCTATTTCTTATTATATTTCGTTTCTTTTCTTTTCTTTTCTTTCCTGTGTTGCTTGCTTAAGCTTCTCTTTTCTTTCTTGTTTTTCTTTTCTTTTCTTTTCTTTGCTTGTTCAAGTTTTCTCATTCTTTCTTATTCTTGTTCTTTCTTATTCTTTCTTTTCTTATTCTTATTCTTTCTTAAGTACTACATATATACAAATATTTACATATGGATGGCTCNTAGGGTGCAGAAGCGATACGAGGCATAAGCTTGGACACATCAGAAATAAGCGATGGAGGTTTAGATTTTCAAGCTTTCTCAAAGATGCATAAACTGAGATTCCTCAAATTGTATAGCCCACAAGACCCTGGATCTCTTCCCACTTTGGCAAAAGCGTTCCTCAGTTCACATGAATACTCATGTAAAAATACATTGCTTGGTTTCGAAGACCTTGAATTTTTTTCTGCTGAGTTGACCTACTTTAGCTGGCGTGGATGTCCGTTAATATCATGGTCATTAAAGTTTCTTTCAGGGACTCAATTTTTTGCCAAGGTATATAGGGTTATTTTGTTTTATTGTTTATTAAGGGTAGAATAGTCTTTTCAATTTCCTTTGTATAGCTTATATATAGTCTTTTTGTATTTATGTTAAATCATTCTTTTGTGTTCGATTGCATTGTGCAGTATCAATGAAACCTTAATCTCCTCTTTTTTCTTATTTTTTCGGATTGTTTAATTCTTTCAGGGAATCAATTTTTTGTCAAGGTATGTATGTGTATGGAACTACAATATAATTATATATACATATAATAATAATTTTCTAATCATGACATTATGATATTAGTTTGTTAGTACCATGAATATATATTATTGGATATGAATTGTAAAAAATCATTTCAATCCCATGAGATAAATCTAACAGTGTATAAACATAGTTTGACGAAATTAATATCAACATGTTTTGACTAAAGATTTACTAATATATATATTTGTATGTATGTATGTATGTATGTATGCGTGTTTGTGTGTGTTCAAGTTACAAATTATAAATATAAGAGAGCTGATTTGTAATTTGAATATGTCATTTGTTTCCTTTTACAGAATCTCGTAAATTTGATTCACATTGACCTCAGTAACTCTATACGCATAACAGAGGTTCCAAATCTCTCTGGGTTACTAAACCTGAAGGAAATAATTTTAAAAGAGTGTTTAAATTTGTTAGACATCATTTCCTCCTATATCCAGAATCTCAATAATCTTGTGCAGCTGAATCTAGGGGGTGTTTGTCTGAGCTTATGAAAATTAGCTTATAAGCAACAATTGCTTATAAGCTAAAATTAACTTATAAGCATTTGAAATATTAAGCAATTACGTGTTTGGTTAAAGTACTTATAAGTGACGGATAAGTAATTGACGTGTTTGGTAAAATGTGGCTTATAAGTATATTTTATTATAAAATTACTAAAAAAGGTACTACATTAAACAAGGACATACTATGGAATTTTAAAATTAAACAAGGATAATGTAGTAATATACTTGGTCAAACTAGCTTATAAGCTAAAAAAAAAAAGTACCTCCCCCCCAACTTATTTTTTTTAGCTTATAAGCTCAACTTATAAGCTCAAAAAAAATTATAAACAAACAAGTCAGCTTAATTTTAGAGCTTATAAACAAGTTTGACCAGCTTATAAGCTTAGACAAACACCCCCCTAAGCAATTGTGTGAGTCTTATTAGTCTCCCAGACAACATTCAATCAAAATCTATTACTCTCCGTGGCTGCTTCAAGATGGCTCCAAAGATCTCAAGTAAAGTGGAAAAGCTAGATCTAAGTCATACTGCAATAAAAGAAGCACCTTTCGTTGAATATCCATCCAGGCTTGTTAGATTGGATCTTTCACATTGTTCAAAGCTTGAAAGTCTCTCGAGCAATATTTGTGAGTTGCAATTTCTTCAGTATCTTGCAATAAGAGAATGCCGAAAACTTGAAAGATTACCGGATGACCTTGGAAACTTGGAAGCTTTGGAAACATTGGACGCTTCTGGTATTTTCACAAGAGAAATACCATCATCCATTTCCCATTTGAGCAAACTTTCTTCATTACAGATATCTCGATTATCTGATGATGAAGCGCCGTTGAATTGGGTACCGAATTCTCTATCAAGATTGATGTCTTTGAAACGTCTTGAGTTGATTAACTGTCAAATTCCGGAGCTACCAAACAATCTTGGTCAATTATCCTTTCTAGAAATATTAGATGTGTATGGAAATAATTTTGAGACCATACCAGCAAGCATCAAAGACCTTTCTAATTTGGTTTTTCTGAACATATGCTATTGTGAGAAGCTTCAGTCTTTACCAGAGCTTAAAAGTGGTCTAAATGTGGCAGCATATAATTGCTCATCATTGGAATCAATATCGGATTCGTCATTTCTGTTCTCACCGAATTCGATGCAACAAAGAATAAATTTTGCGAATTGTTTCAAACTGGATCTGTCAACATTCTTGGCAAGGTCTCTTTTTCACACACTCTCTCTCACTCAATTTCATAAAATATTGTGATGATGATGTGGCTTGAAATTGCCACGGTGGAGTCAGCATTAGTCAAAGGAATCATATTCAAACTTAAACTAAGACGGCGTCATTTTGGCTATCAAACTTAAGTGCCCTATCTGACACTCGAAACCCATTCTGTTGCAACGAATTCACAGCTCATCTCTCTTTCTCTCTGGTCCCATTTCAACCCTAGCTCTTCGTTCATGACAGAATATTCTAGTGCCCATCTTCTCCAACCGATTGCAGATCATACTGGACAGCTGAAGGATGATCAACGGAGTCTGACCTGTATAAAATCAGACCAATATGTGCGAGAGAAAACATAGTAGTGAGAGGGCTTAATCGGTTATGTTCTTTCTTGCATTTCTCTAGTTGTATGCTCTCTGTAATCTTGGTTTCCTTGATTAATGAAATACCCTATAGTGTGCCTTGAAGAGTGGATGTAGGCTACCTTAGCCGAGCCACTATAAATCCCCTGTGTCAATTTCTATTATGTTCTTTCATGCTTTTCTTAATCTCTGGAATTGATTGCATGTTTATTGATAAGATTGTGTTAGCTCATTGATTGATTTGATCAGCATAGTTGAAAACCCTAATTAGTCACTACAAATATTTTATAAAACATATTTTAATATTATGTTACAAGGATAATTTCAATGGTACAGGAAATTTGTTGAGAAATATGTAACGGTATGGGATGTTGTATAACTCTGGAGAAGCCACCTGATTGGGACAACCAATTTCTGGGTATTTGTATGTGCGCTGTTGTGACATTTCCTGAAGGATGCTACATCAAAGACAATTTCATTGTTGAATGTCACTGCAGTATAAAAAGCAAAGATGATGAGGATAAGAAGATAAGAGTATACTCAAGCTCTTTGCATGCTTGGGACACTTATGATTTTGTCAACTATGCTGCTCCCACTGCACCCTACTATATTGGTTCAGATCATGTATTTATGGGGTTTAAAAAACATATGAAATCGTCAATTATTGATTGGACCGAACTACATGTTGACTATGAGTTTCAGGCAAAGAATTTGAGCCGTCGAAACTTTGATGAAAAGAAAAACAAAGATTGCAGGGAAGATGAAGTGAAGGTGAAGGTGGAATCAATTTTCTGTACGCCAATGATTGTATAGAACCAGCAGAAGGCTTTAGAGGAAGCACTAACTGCGATGAAGGGAGAAAGATGGAGGAAACTGAACCACACTCTATTAAATTGTAAATTTCAAATTCCTTTGCAAGCAATTCCAGCACAAGGTAAATAATTAAGATCCTCTTTTTTATTTATTTTTTCGCTCAATTATTTATTTAGTTGTGAAAGTTTTATACCTGACCAAATTACTATTCAAATCATCACATAATGACTATATATTCATTATTAAAATAATTCTTATTTCAAAGACTTTTCCATGAAAGCAATTACAAATTCTGTGACTCTGGAGATACTTGTAAACCATCAAGCATCTTATTAGTGTTTTAAATTTTAAACGACCTTGGATTATTTTTTGTTTTTCCTCAGAAAACTTATATGCTATAAATTTTTCTTTTAGTTTCCTTCGGAACGACAGTAGAGTTGTCTTTTAAGCGAACAGAGATTATATGCTTCAAAATTAGCATATGGGAAAAAGAAAAAGAAACTGTAATTTTTACTTTTGGGATATTGTGGTCGGTTTTCTTACATATTTTCTTGTGAAATTGGATCTCTTTAGGAAATTTATTTTATAGAAGAATAAATTTTTGAATACGATTCTAAAAATGAAAATACGAGTACCAATTCAAGGTTATAAGAGAATTATGAGTTACAAAGTGCTTAAACCATGTGTTTGCTCACTCAGTTAATTACTACTAACTTGGTTATGGTGTTGATATATATATATATAAAAGGATTACTGGGAGTCTTGTCGAAGGCCAGGACTACGGGCGAAGGTGTAGAATTCTCAGGAGCAAGAACTTAAGAGCAAGTAGGTGGTTTTAAGTAGTAGAGATTGAACATATGGCTCCCTGCTGAGAGAGTTTGTCTCTATGTATATAGTGAACCTAAGGGGTTAGATTCCTGGTAGGACTCTAAGATCTACAATGAGAGATAATCCCTATCAAGAAAGAAAGATTATTTATTGTCCTTATCAGATTATGCTTACTAGTTTGAGTAAGATTTAGGATCTTAGTAGAAGAGAAAATAGATTGAGATTCTGATTTCCTATTTATGGACTGTTGTAGGCTAATGGGCTGGAACTCAGTTTACTTAACTTGTAGGATAACCCAATCAGGATTAGGCTAGGGCTTTGGGCCATGACATGCTTATTTTGTTAGTGGGCTTCGTCAGACCTGAGACGATTTTTTGCCCATACAATGAGTATTTATTTATAATGCTCTTTATAATTAATATATTTAATTATAATTGTGTTTGACGATATGGAATAAATTTATAATACTATAACGAGTGTAAAACAAAACCGAGAAAAATTACTAGTGAACAAGTTATTAAGCTAATACAAATAACAACACCTCCAAATTAAACTATAATAAAATTTCTACTAATAAAATATTCAAAGATTTATCTAGCTTTTATAGTAAAATATTATAACTTTTGTTGTAATTTCTCTTTTATGTTTCGACCCCTTAAAATAATGCATCAAAATACATATTTTTGATATTTTTTTTTTCCTAACTTCAATATTTTGATATGACCTATCTATAGGTAATCTAAATAGTTAGAATGAATTGAAGATAGTATAGATAGATACACAGTCTTAGGTTCGATTCTCTATCTGAGCATCTGCAATTTAAGTGAAGGGCCATGATGGTAGGTTATAGGCTATATATATATATATATATGTGTGTGTGTGTGTGTGTGTGTGTTTCTAATGAATATTTCTCTCTCATATGTGAATATAATCAAGTTATTTTCGTTTATACATATTAATCTCATTGTTTTTATCACTTATGCGTGCATAAACTATTAACATTTACCATCATCGTTATTGAGATTATTATGACTATTATCATTGTTTATTTTTGTCTCTGGTTATTATATAAATGTTATCGTTGAAATTAAATTAATGTAAATACTCTTATAAGTGGTGGAGCCGAGTTTAGGTCTAGGGTTTTTAAAAATTTAGTATAGAAAATATAATTTTACTCCCTATGAATTTAGTTCTATTTCTAGCTATCCCAATTTTTTGAAAGTAACACTAGCCTATGTAAGTGTAACTTCTTAATTACTTTCTGGTCCTGTTATTTACTAAACATTATTCTGGCCCGCCAAGACTAGATTTTCTAGCTCTGCCCTTGGCTATTATTGATTGGGAGCTCATTTTAAAAGTATTGTTTATAGCCATCTAGATAAAGAAAGCAACTCAACGGATGCGTTTGGTTTATTATTTTGGATAGGATTTTGAGAATAATATTGGATAGTTGAGTAAGGTTATGATTACGAGAATAAGATTTGAAGAATTTGTGTTGAATATTTGATTGATATATTTTTTTATAAATGATTTGACCTTGATATTTGTGAAATGGTGAAGCATGCTGGTAATGGTGAACTGAGAAAGTGAAATGGTGAAGTGAGAAAGTAGGAAATGTCAGTGAAGAAGTAGTGAAGAAAACTGAGAAAAATAAAAGCAGACTGCAGACCTTCAACGGTAAAAAAAAAGTCAGAAAAGCTGTCAAGAAAATATTTTGAAGATTGTATTGTGAAAATAAGCCACCAAACGTTATTTGTTAAATCCGGTCCAAAATATGAATAAAAATACTGAACCAAACGCAGGATATTATTGTGATAGTATTATTGCAAGAAAAGGTCCATGGCTTCCATGATTATCAATGATTTTGACATTCTCTACATGAATTTATCTGCGTTAATTTAAATTGTTTCTCAAACATGAAGCAAGCTGCTTAATTATATATGGCTAATTTGGGTGAACATAGATTACAACAATCAAATATATTATGAATTCGCAGTTTTGGTGGTTGTTTGGAGAACATTTAAAATATTGTAAGTTAAAATAAATTGGTCTGTTTATTGACAGGAAGAATTCAGTAAATGTCTCATCAATAAGGAAAAGAAAGAGGAAGCGGAAGGGGAAGAGGAAGAGGAACCACATTTTTAAGAAATTGAGAATTTTCATATTCCTTTAAAAGAGAATCTACCTCAAGGTAAATGATTAAGATTTCCATTATGCATATCTTTGTAGTTGAATAGTTTTCTCATTCATTGTTTGTGTTTTGCCGTGTCAGTGTATATATATACAGTAAAACCTCTCTATAGTAATACTCTATATATGAATAAATTCTACATACTCATAAAAAATTTAATTCCCAATTTGGGATAGTTATAAATAAGAATAAACTCTACATTGTAATAAGTTATAATTTTTCTAATTCCTGTCTTAAGAAAAGTTGCCTCCATATAATAATAATTATTTGTATATTACAAAAAAAAAAATATGTTATGTTACATTAAAGGTTTAATATGAAATAAAATATTTATCTAAAGTTGTTTGAGATAATGATTTATGCTTTAGAGTTGTTACTACATTTTTTAACTTGCGGGTAGATTACTCGCTAGCATGAACATTTTCTTGTTGAAGCCAAATATTTTTAGTTTTTCAAGTATATTTAGAACTTCTTGGTATAAAACTTTTTGTATTTTCGTACTATCATCCTCATAATTATTTCCTTTATCTTTTTGTCAAATTGTAGTAATGATTTATTCTTTAGTTAAAGCATATATAACTTATTGCTTATTTGGATAATTAAGAAAAACATTAATATCCATTCGATTAGTGTAATGAAGTTATTGAATCTGATCACTAAATTCTACAATGACTCTTTGATTCTTCTCATCCACTTCATTTGTAACTTGCAATTTATCGACATCGGAGATCTTAATTTGGTAATGATTAAAACGATTCGCAATAGTATGTGACTTCACATCAATTTGCTGCATAATTTTGTAATGATTAAAACATTTGACAATTGTTTGTGGCTTCACATCAATT